CATTCGGAAATATGGAAATGGTCTTTATTTTAGATTCTTTCTCATTTAGCCTTTCAGGCTCTGAGAATGTGAAAAATAAATCTAAAAATCCTAGTTATAAAAGCTTTCTTGTAAATTATTCCAGGTACATGAAAGCCCCACTCCTACACATAACAGAAGAAAAAAAAAAGATTAATGACCCCTGACATTAAAATTTTAAATGTCCCGCATGCAAATCTACCTTCCCTGCATTTATGGCAAGGCAATAACCAGCAGAGAATTAGAATTGAAAAAGTGCCAAAAAGCAACATGGAAATTAGACAACAAAGTAGTTTCACAGTGCTATTGAGAGAGGAATAGGAAATGAAACAAGAAAACAGGGAGAGACAGACTCTGGTGCTGTGGATGTCTAAGCAAATGTGTGTATATTCACACACGTGTCCGAGAGACACATAGATAAAAAATCATTTTATTTCTTTGCTCTTAAAACTTAAAGCAAAACTTAAAAATAGATACTACCTTGGTTGCATTTCAACAATGTGACACATAATTCTTGTTTAGTTCCAAGTTACTTTTCATTAAATGGCTCCTGAAATTTTCACTTTTAAATATAAAGGAGATCTCTTGAATGTTTGATTATTTTAAAATTAAGCATTTATTGTGAAATAGGAAGAAAAGGGCTAAAGGTATAGGGAAAGTGGGAAGGGTAGGGGAAAGGTAATAAGGGAAAAGAAAAAAATAGGAGAAAATGAAAAAATGGAAATAAAATGGTTGTAAATGGGGAGGGGAGGAGGGGGTGAAGGGAGGGCAGGGACAAGGGGAAAAAATGAGAACCAAGACCTGTCATGTAGAGGTGCAAGATCCCAACAATGAATGTAACTGTACTGTATCCCTAAAATGTACCAGTAAACTCAGTTAAAATTAAGCATTTATCAACACAGATTGATACTTGGATATGAATCAGTACTCTCTGATATGAATTTCTTCCAATTCCTTTTTTTCAATTCTAGGCACTGCAAATTCCAGTGCTACAGATGTCTCTCTTTGGGTTTCAGTGAAACACTAAAACTGTGACAATGACACTAAGGGACATTGTTTCATGCCTTGCAGCTGGAACGTATCAAATAAGGCAAACAAGTTTTAGAAAATTATCTCACATGTATAATACATCGGCTGCATGTTTACCAATGCCTTCTTACTCCTCAACATTATTTCCAGGTTTTTTGCCATTCCCATCAGAATACAATGAAGAAAGTTTCTCTGCTTGGGCTATAAGGATACGGAAAACGAAAGACAATCTTGAGAGCATTTTTCCTTTTAAGGTAACTTCGATTTGATCTTGGAGTCACCTATGCACAGAGAACTCAGTGAGTACTGTAAAGGGAAATCCAACCAAGGCTAGCAGATCTGTGCACGAACCTTAAGCGATTTGGTGTGATGCAGAGCAAATGTGGAAGCATCAGAATACCACTCCCTACACAAATACGGCCCCTTTCTCCTTTATTTTATTTTATTTCGAGTAGCCTGGGGTGGGGGAGGGCCCAGCTTCCCAGACTCCTTTGCATTCAAGAGTGATCCAAAGGATACCATTGAATAAGACCTGTACACACTTGCCAGGTGGGGCTTCCAAGTAAGTCTGCAGAACAGGAGACTCAGATAACATAAACAGTTGTTGGCTTTGGTCACGCTTCTTTCTGGGCAAAAGGCTAGGAGGAGCTGGACCCAGGTGGCACTCTGACCTTGTTAACCTGCTAGGAAATGACATCCTCCTTTGGTCTAGAAATGTCTAATCATTCATTTTATGTCACTTGGCTAGGTCATGGTATTCAGGTATCGGTCAAGCATGTCTGAATGTTGTTGAGAAAATGTTTTTTTTAATGACATCAACCATTAAATCAGGAGACTGGGTAAATCCCTCAACGTTAGTGGGCATTGACCAGTCAGTTGAAGACCTTAGGAGAAAGACCAGAGCTGAGCATGGCAAGACACTCTGCCTGTACCACCATGAGGTCGAGGAAGGAGGTTGAGGCTGGAGGATTCCAAGTTCAAGGACAGCCTGGCCAATCAAATGATTTAACTAGACCTTATCTCAAAATAAAAAATAAAAAGGGCTTGGTTCACAGGCCCTGGTTTGAATCCCAAGCACCCTTGGGGGGGGGAGAAAAAACAACTAGCTTCTCCTAAGGAAAAGAGCTTTTCCAGCAGACTGCAACATCATCTGTTCCCTGGGTCTCCAGTACTGCAGATTTTGGGCTTTCCTGCCCCTATAATCATAAGGGTCACTGCCTTAAACACTCTCTCTCCCTCTCTCTTTCCCTCCCTCCCTCCCTCCCCCCTCTCTCCCCTCTCTGGCTCTGTAGCTCTCTATCTCTCGCCTATTTCTCCCTGCACCCTCCCCACCTCTCCCACTCTAAGTGAGTTTCTGGTCCTTTGTGAGCTGTCTGGCTGCGCACAAGCCTCCGTGACACCTAGCCTCAGACCTGTAAAATGGTAACACTGTCACACTGACTCCACACACCCACTGTGCAAGCTGTACGGACAGCCTGTGTAAAGTGCTGTGTGAGTGAGAAAACCCAAGAGTCCTGGAGGAGTCACTGCGCCAATTCACAATGAACAGCATAGTGACTCTGTCATAATTCTTCAACCATAATCCTTTGCTCAGTTGCATTTATTTAAAATAATTTTCTTTAAATCTGAATATAGTCATATTGAGCATTTGAAAGGTCAGAAGCACACCCACACATTCTATCACCTTGGCCCCCTAGCTACTGTTACTACTAATAACTTGATTTATTGAGTTCCTGGGTGCCAAGCAGTGTACCAAGCAGTTCGATTTATTATCTCAACACCCTGAAGGTAGGTGAAATTGTGGCGCCCACTTCGTAGGTAACAGAAGTAAGAAGGAAGCCAGGACACACTGCTAGTAAATGCTCAGAGGAGGGATCAAACCCAAGTCCAAGGACTCTAAAGTCCATCACTTGCCACCAACCGGGTACTGACGTGCTGAATTCTCTACTGAGGCATTTGCTGAAGCGGAACTGGCGTGTGAGCAGCAGATCACGTGGGAGTAAAACCTGTGCATGCACACTGCTCAGCAAGATCCTCTCACTCCCGGGCTGCTCACTCGCTCACCCAGGAGAGCATGTTAGCTTGAAATGAAGTGGAAGCCTGTTGCCTATGAGCTACACCAGCTTCTGCTAACACTGTCTTGTACTTCAGATGAAGATGTCCCTGCCAACAGGCACCATGAAGTTCATCTGTGGAAACCCTGGCTGATCTACTTCCGACTTCCATACACCTGTGATCTCATTTTATTTTCCCCAAAGCCCTTTGAGTTGAGAAGGGCATGTAAGTATTAACTCCATTTTACAGGTGAAAGAACTAAGCTCTACAGAGGTTAAGTGAGTCGCTCAGGGTCACACAGCAAATTAATGGCACAGGGGAGATTGGAAAGCTGTCTCCTGACATGCAGCACAGCACACTTTGCATTACGCTAGGCTCCTTCACCTGTCAGCCCCGCCAGTTCTCAGGGCCTGGAGTTGACGATGCATGGCATCAGCTCCTCAGGGTGAAACTGAGGTAGGAAAATGCACGTGCGCACACACACACACACACACACACACTACACTGTAATTCCATCTGCCAACATGATTTTATAACAGTTCCGTCAAGGATGCAGAAAACCCCCAGACTGTCTTTCAGAAACAGAGCACAGAGTTAATTTCAGCATGAAATAGGACTTCCTCAGGTGGGAGTGAATGGGTAGGCGGACAGGAGGACAGACTGTGTTAACAATGGAACAGTGGACTGCATGGTAAAAACCTTTGAACTGTCACCACTATGAAGCATGGAGTAGCAAAGAGGACCATCCTAGACAAAATATGGAGAAGAGCTTCATTCACCTCCACTCCTCTATAATTTCGTATTTCTTAATGTCAGGGCATTACATATGTTTAATTCTCTGGACTAACACACGTATTTTGACTCATCTGTATGATGTGTATAAAAAGTAAAGAACAGGGAGAATTTTAGGATTACAGAAAACACAGTAACACTGGATGAGACTGTGCTCATCATCTTATCCTGAAGCCAAAGAAAGTACCAAGACAGGTAACAAGCCACAGAGCCAGTTTAGTTTCAAAGCCAGGATACCAGATGAAATATTCGCCTTTCATCACCCCAACAAGGTGGCAGACATTTGTCTCAGTGGCACTGGTCTCAGCAAAGCAGAAGTTAACATCTCTTCTCTTAGTGGGTTAGATGAGTAGATGCCACAAGACAAAAAGAGAAGGTGAAAGACTGGAAGCTCAGAGCCAAACGGCTAGCACCTAGGGATGGAAGTTCCCAGGGACCTGAAACAAGAAGGCTTCTGAACGTGCTGCCACAGCCAGATAAGACCGGCCCTGAAAACTGCTTGGCCTAGAATGATGCTACTTGGAAAATCATGACAGAAACTCGAGTGTTCTTTTTACGGATGATTTAGCAAAAGGAAGTTTAGGGAGTTTAGACACCAGGACACCAGCCATCTGCTCAGAAAGGAATTTTCTACAGATTCAAAGATGTTCAAAATGTGGACAAGTAAACCTTCAAATGAAAGTGAGCATCAGTGTTTAAAATAGAAAGATAAATTTCATCCAAAATGATTTGGGGCCTGCCAACTTCAGCTGGGGAGTGACAATAGCAGGGAAAGAATGCAGAAGCCAGGAACAAAAATCAATCAAATACGCTTTCATTAAAAATTCCTGGGGAATTCACGTGTTCTAGCCATGGCATCATGTCACACAGACGAGAACACAATGTAGGATTCAGAGAGCTCTTCACATTCTTACTTAGATGCATAAAACAATCCTCAGTCTCCATGCATAGAAAATACCCCAAAACGACCCTCTTCTCATTGCTGCTTTTGTGACCGTTTCGCATGGGGTTGCGGTTGGCCGCTAGATCTGGAACACTCTACCTCCCAGCACTTACCCAAATACTCCAACTCCCCATATGGACCCTGTCTTATTCACTGTCTTTACCTCTCAACTCTTCTCTATGTATTTCAACAGTCTCTCAATTTCTTCAGTGTTCTTCTTGCTTTTTCTAGTTCTGAGAGGGCCTGGAAGTTTACCCAGGAATCACACAATCTTCCTGTGTAGAAGCTAGAGAAATGGTAGAGACAATGAACATCCATATCTTAATAATTTAGTCCTGTAACACATTAATGGATTTTGTCCCTTAGATTTCTATCACCTCAGAGAAGCCCAGAGGTTAGCACTTTAATGCAGGACGACAAATAGCAGATCAGCAATTCAAGATCAACACTGACTTCAGAAATCACGGTCTTCCTACAGCATTGAAATAACTATAGGAGCTAAGTTTGAAAAGAGATTTTTCTCCCCTCATCGTTTTCATCATGTCTATTAATGTTAACATATACCAGGTACTGGACTACGTAGTAAGAACACTGAGATAAGAAAGACCCTTTTCCATAGCAGCCACAGTTTAATGCAGTGTTTCTTATACTGCATCCTAGCAAACACAAGTGTCTCTTCTAAGTTTGCACGATCTGAATACTTTTGGGAATGTGTTATAACCAATAGTTTTTTCCAAGACAGGATCTGGCTGTACAATTCACGTTGGACTTGAACTCTGAAACTACGAGCCAAAGTAAACCTTCCTCCCTTATCAGTTGTTGATCTCTGGTATTTTGTCACTGGCAGAAAGCTGACTAACAGAATTTCTACCATCTTCTCCACTTCTCTCAATGAGGAAATAAAAGTTCAGAGAATTTAAATTGCCCATGACTGTGTGCCTAATAAGTGGCAGAGGTGACATTCTAAACAGATGTAATGTTAATTTTTTTTTTTTTTCTAAACTAAAACCTCAGCATTCAGGTTTAATTGCAGTTTGGCATTTTGCAATAAATAAGTGGATTTGGGCTTGCAGTCTGACACTCGGTCTCTAAAAGGTTTGCATTATTACCTTGTATAAAGAATTCTGTATGACTAGTAAACTGACAAAGGAAAAAAAAAACTAAGTAGACTTTACAAATAATACTACACAAAGAGCTACCATCAATCTGAAGTGGACCCTGGATGTCATAAACCCACCCAAAATGGTTCCAGGGGAAGAACTTCAAACAGTTGGCGTGGTGAGTACATCTTGTACTTTTGTCTTTTCTCCACCTTAGCTCATGGACTCAAGAGGATATGCATTTGAAAGAATTAAAAGAAAAGTTGAAAGGGTAGGAAACACAGGTATCTTGGCCCTCTTAAACTTTAACCAGAGTGGGAAAATATATCATGCAAATGTAGGCCAGAGGATCCCCAACATAGAGAAGGCGTTCAGTAATTAGGGGGCCAAAATGATCCATTTCTCTGCTCATTCATATTTGAACCCACATACTCAGAAAAGCTATTTAATATTGATGATGGCCAAAAGCAGAGATTTGGAAGGGCGGACCGACAGGGACTTCTAATTTTCTGAGGCTTTTACTGTCTGCTAATTCCAGTGTGCTTTATCACATTTCCAGGATCCCTCTGTAGGAAGCTGGGCCCGTGTGACTAGTGCCAGCTAGCAGGCTATAGGCAGACCGAATCTGGAAGCCTCTGTGAAGATTTCACAGCCCGACTACACACTCCACTGACCTGCACACCAGAAGATGAGGTCGGAGAACACCAGACTGCTCACTTACTGCATAGAGGACAACTGCCCTGTTGTCCCAACTGCCAGGGGACTGGCATGAGTGAGAATTAAATCTTGGTTGTGTTAAGACTACAGAATTAATTTGTTTAGCACATACCCTACCCTACTTATCCTCATTCACATATCAACCCTGAGCCAAAGATAAAGAAAATGGGCTGAGGGAGCCATCGCACCAGCTGATGAAGAGTGCGTCCTCACCGGAAAACATCCTTGTACTAGATAAGGATGCATCTCCGATTGCCATGCTGCTGCCACCAGCCTCACCTCAGCTGTCTCCCACAGAAGATGTCTGGTTTCCTTGCCAGGCTGGTTCTGCAGCATGGTTTTGTGCATTCTTCCCCAAAGCTTAGCCTCAAGCCTATTTCTCAGGGACTACCAATGATTCTTTGAAAGAGTCATATCCTTTAATAAATTTCCTATTTAAATGAGCCAGAGCCCACCTTATAACCTGCAAAAAATATTTCTGACCACATTTTCCTTCTCCCACTTCCAACATCCAAGCAAATAATGGTTTTAACCACTCACAAGCTATCAGCTTCCTCTCAGGAAACAAACCCAGTGATGTGGAATTTCCAATGCCCTCCTGTACATCGGAGCCATAGGGAGTGTATGTGACCGGTTCCTATTTCCAGAATCCCACCTGCATTCCTTTTCCAACTCAGTTTTCTTTTTTAGCCTTTCTGTCAGTGAACATGGCAACATCTTTGGCTGAGACAGTCAAAAGCTTAATTCTTCATCTATCTTCCAAGCTGTAGGTACATCGCTGGACATATCAGTGCTTTGAATGCAACATTTATCTATCTGACTCACTCTTTAACAATCATTTTTTCTGGTTTTTAGGTTACATTTTACATAGCAATGCAGTCATTTTAGCAAATTCCTTCAAAGTGTTAAGAAATATGTCAGTCGTTTCAAAACAGGAACTCAGCAGTCTAATACAGCAGGCACGAACACCAAGAATTGTTCCATTTCCCAGGCTGGTCATGGAATACAAAACTCAGGCACATTACAGAGGCCACCAGGACATACTTTCACAAAGGAGTATCTCTGTGCCTCCCTAAGCTTCTAGCTTAACAGCACAGGGCAAGCCAGGAAACTGAAGAATGCTAGAGAAAGTATTTAAATAGTCCTCTTATGAGAGGGAAAAAAAAA